CATACCACTGTGCACATGTGGCTGTCAGAGGACAACTTGCAGGAGTTGATTCTCACCTCTGCCCTGTGGGACCCAAGGATGACACCCAGGTCACCAGGTTACCCACTGAGTCATCTTGCTGGCTCCTGCCTTCTTAGTTTTAAGAAATTATTGGGAGGTAAACTCTCCCAGTGAAGTTGAAGCTTGCTGCTTTGGGTAGACTGACTGGCCAGTATACCCTAGGGAGCTTTCTGTCTCCACCTCTCCATCACTAGGTATGCAGCCATACCTGGCCTTTCTACATGGTGTTGGGCATCAAACTCAGGTTCCTGTGTTAATACAATAAACATTTTACTGACTGAGTCATCTCCCAAGCCCTTTCATTTGATCTTCTCTCCTAGTGTTAGACATAGACCTTTCCTGGGAGACCTCACACACACACAAATCCACATCATATCCCCAGTCTTAGCAGTCTCTGGACAGGGGAAGGATCTGACCTCCCAGGATCTTATCTATGACAGATCCCTAGACCTAGCCATCCTGGGGTTAGAGCCAGGAAGGCTGTTAATTTCCCCTGTGCACTTTCCTGTCTCCCTCTTCTTCCTAAGAGTCCCCTCTTCTTTACCCTCCTCCGTCCCAGTTTCTGTTGTCTCCTTCTTCATTAAGGTTTTTATTCTGAATACATGAATGCTCAGAAGAGAGAGAGAGAGAGAGAGAGAGAGAGAGAGAGAGACTCAGACTCCATTGTCCAGGCTCACTTGCAGCTATGGTGCAGAAGAATTGTCTGTAATCTGTCAATCATGTTTTAAATAAACGCTGATTGGCCAGGCAGGAAGTATAGGCGGGAAAACCAGACAGGAAGTAGAAATGATGCAATGAGAACAGGAGAATTCTGGGAAGGAGGAAGTTGATTCCTCCCACTCCTGCCCAAATCACCAAAGCAGCAGAATGTGATCTGCCCCATTGAAAAAGGTACTGAGCCACATGGCTAACATAGATCAGAATAATGGGTTAATATAAGCTACAAGAGCTAATAAGTAGCCTGACCTAATGGGCCAATGAGCTTTATAACTTATAGAGACCTCTGTGTGATTCTCTTTGGGACCTTGCCGGCTGTGGGGTACCAGGCGGGACAGAAAACCCCAACAAGCCGGACTTCATGTTACACAGCTAGATGTAGCTATGGTGAGAAAAATCCTGCTAAGTAAATTGAGTGTTAGCTCTCAATGAGGTCCTTAAAGCCAGGATTGTACCCTCCCCAACACCCCATCCTCTAACCTGCTGCTTAAAGTCGATGCTGGGCATGGTGGCACATGCCTTTCATACCAGTACTTGCGAGACGTAGGAGAGGCAGGCAGAACTCTCTGAGTTCAAGGCCAGCCAGGTCTACAGAGTGAATTCTGGTTCACTTAGGGCCACACAGTGAGACCCTGTCTCAAAACAAAAATAAAACAAAAGGCTGGAAGGGATGCGTTAGAAAGGGTCGAAAGCAAAAGACCTTGGGTTTTCATACTAGTTCTGGGCCTCCCTACAGCTATTAGGTGGTGAAGGGTCTGTCTTGTTCGAGCCTCACTTTGGGGTCTAGTGTTAACTGTAGCCCAACCCCACCTCCCTTATACTGTTTCTCTTCTCCTTCCTCCCCTCTCCTGTCATCTGACTCCTTCTCTGCTCCTTCCTCTTCCCTTTTCTTCTCCTGATCTCTTGCTTCTGTCTACCCTGCATCTCCGTAATGTTTCTACAGTGACAGGTGGCAAAACTGGTCTGCTGAGGACACAGGTAGGCCCGCTGCTAGCCAGCCTGTATGGACATGTCCCCGTTCCGAGGGCTCTGCCCTGCCAGAGATGTGTCTCCACCTAAAGGAGTCCCTGGCCATATTCAGCTATGTGCCCTGACGGTGCCCTGCTCCCTGAGAGGGGGCAGAGAGCCAGCCAAGGTGCTAACCCGAGGCAGCTCCTCCTGTGGCCGATGCCAGTGCCAAGCTATGCCTATGGCTCTGCAGTGACTGCAGTGATGCCTGGAATTGGATGCTAGTCTAGGCTAGAAACCATCTGGCTGTGCCCTCTGGCTTCCACAGAAGACAGCGCTCTGGGATGTTGGGGCAGTGGAAGCCAGCCTGAGCCAGGAGCTGACCGTGGCTATTAGCCTTCAGCCCCAGTTCCAAGCTACCCAGGTGGGTGATGGTGGCAGGAGACAGGCAAAGAGGGACATCCCACAAACCCCTGTGCAGGCCACGATGGCTTGCTTCCTAGCCCTCCTGCCAGCCTTTTGTCCCTGATCAGCTCTCACAGTGACAGATGGTGCCCTGAAGCCAAGCACTGGACTAGAGCCCAGGGAGACCATGTCAGCTGTGACAGGGCTCCCCTTTCATCCTCCCGCCTAGGGCTGGGGCAGCCCCAGCTCTTCACCTGGCTCAACAGGGCTTAACAGGCCTGGGGCTGAGCTGCAGAAAGCCACATGGCAGAGTGGCAGTGACCCTTTGGAAACAGAGACCTGGCTGAGAGAAGAGATGACAAGACTCTGGGCTGAGCAGGAGAACACAGAGCAGCCATACTGGGTCTCTCTTCCAGCCAGGGACATAGATGGCAGACCGGCCTCCAGTCCCTGGGAACATCTGAAGGGCACTTGTGCACATCCAGGGTGGGCTCAGAGCCGGTCTGCATGCCCAGAAGGCCTCTATTGGGAGCACCCCTTGGTTCTAGATACCATTCCTACTTCTCCTCAGCCTCCAGCAAGCCAAGGTCCTTAATCTGGGCTGGCGGGGGGAGGGAACGGACACACGGCATAACCTGCGCGGTGTCGGGTGGTGTGATGTCACTCAGAATTCTCCAAAGGCTTTCCATCTGGAGTCAACACCACCCGGCCAGCTGCTCCCAGTGCGGTGCCCTCCCCAGCTCTGGGCTGGATCGAGTGTCTGTCCCTCTGGAAGCCAAGCCTGGGACAGGCTTAGGAAGAACAGATTCAAAGACAGCTTTTCTCACAGACAAGTTTGAAGCAGAGGACTGCCGTGGGGCAAGACGGCACTTGTGGGGTGAAGGACAGAGAAACATTGAAGTCACACACACACACACCCGTCTCTCTCTCTCACACACACACACCCCTCTCTCTCTCTCTCTCTCTCTCACACACACACACACACACACCCCTCTCTCTCTCTCACACACACACACACCCTCTCTCTCTCTCTCTCACACACACACACACACCCTCTCTCTCTCACACACACACACACACACAAACACACACACACTTTCTCTCTCTCACACACACACACCCTCTCTCTCTCTCTCTCTCTCACACACACACACACACCCTCTCTCTCTCTCACACACACACATACACACACACCCTCTCTCTCTC